CTTTAACTATTGAAGGTACAAATGGTCCAGAATCATGTGTTGTCGGTGTTGAGGGAGACTTCCGTTTAAAAAACTTCTCCATTATCTAAAAACATAAAATGAAATATACTTTTTTACTAAATCTATGTCCAAAAATTAGAGAAAATTATTTAAATATTTCAATTGAGAATTAATATATTTTTAGAGACTAGAGTCATCAATTCATATGTTTTGGGACAATTATAAATTATAATTAATAATAATCAAGAATTCAACATTAGAAACAATTTCATCAAATAGAAAATTGAAATATAAAAACAAATTATTAAAAGGTTTCACAAATTACACATAAATCTAATTTTCAGATTTACCTAATTATTTAGTTCACAATTTAAAAAAGGAGACAAAATTATTTGGAAATACCTGGTGCCTGGTAGCTGGTGCTCGACTGCTCGGTGCTGCTCGGCGGCGACGCGGCGGACAGGCGACGGCGACACGGCGGACTGTTCAGGCTGTTCGGCAATCAGCAGAATCGGTCTTCAATTGCTCCGCTCCTCTTCTCGATTTCTCCAAAAGCAAAGGGAAGGGGGAAATTCTTTTTAATTTTTGGAAATTTGGATTGGGCTAATTTTGGATTGGTCTCTAGCCTATTTAATTGTTTTGGGCCAGTGGGGGCAGATTTTTTTTTTAATTGGGGGCAATTATATATAACATTAAAAATATACATATATATATATATTAAAAAAAAAATTTCACTGGGGGCAGCTGCCCCCATATGCAATGCTGTAGATCTGCCCCTGTACTCCGTAATATACGGAGTATATTTTACCATAATCTTTGAATTGAAAAATAATTTTAATATACCACCTCCGTCTTTGAGTGTTAATCTAATTCTATCTTTTTTCAGTTAAAATTAACAAAATTGACCATATTCAAATAAAATTGATATTAGATTTTGATTCAAAAGCAATTTTATTAGATTTATTTTGTAGAATATTTTATGAGTATAATTTTTACTTCATTATTAGTCAAAGGTGGAAGATTATTGATTGCAAAAAATCAAAACTAAACAAATACTCAGGAATATAGCTAGGTTGTAGTAAATTTTTAATTTTTAAAGAAAAACAATTTTATTTTGTACTCCATATTATATAACATATAATTTTTGAATAGTATATTTTAAGAAATATTGTTCGTCAAACATTGCAGACGAAAACAAAATAAACACTTAAAAATATTGTTCGTCAAACTTTTCACATTTATTTTAAATTTCTTCATATACTTAGGGCTTCCACATTATAAAATGAATGTATGAATATTTAATAGTTACATAATGATCATTTTGTTTTCAAAAAAAGACTTTTCATTTTTTAATTAATAACACTTCTAATTGTTAGAAGAATAAAATCATGTTTTGTAAATGAAATTGAAAAAATGCATATTTTTTTGTACATACTCAAAGCGTATATAATTTTTTTCGAAAGAAAATACACATTTACAAATTAAATAGTACACATCCAATGTACAAAAGTGAGTATAATTATTCATACTCCTTAAGCTCGACCAATAATAACTGTACTAAAACATAGTGTTTGTTCATACATTGTCAACGCATTATATCTCACGTATTGTTATTGCTCTCATTGGAGTTCAAACTTAATTAACATCATATCTGGCCTTTCATTTGAGAGTCACACCTTGATACCTTTGGAACACGTGCAATTGGTCTTCTGCATATTAGTAAGGAAGTTGTTTAGAGTTGAACATGTATTTTTAATTTTTTTTTTCTCCCCGATAACGTTTGGTTAGCAGCATGCTCAAAACTCTGGAAAGATATCAAAAATGCAGTTATGGTACACTGGAAGTTAATCGCCCAAACAGAGACAATGAGGTATTTTAATGATCCATAATTATAGATAGATATGCTTATTACTTTCAATTAAAGTGATTGACTTGAAACTAGCTTTAGTACAATATCGCAAATGAGTAATATTAGTGTTATTTTCTAATTATGACTCATCTGTCCTACACATCTCATCCTACCCAATGGTAATAACACTAAAATTACTCATTTTAAGGGTGCACTTTTTTTTCAAAAAAAAGTTTATGGGACAGAGGGAGTATGTAACAACATACTTCGTAGGAATTATAATTAATACTCGTAATTAATTACTCCTTCCGTCCCGAAAAACCTTTCTCTTTTCTTTTTTCATCCGTCCCAAAAAACACTTCTTATTTCTATTGAAAAGTCACTTTTCCCCCTTATTTTTTCAAACCCTACTTATCACATCATACCTTTTTACTAATAATCTATCAATCAAATCGTACTTTTACATATCACATCAAAGGACATTTTTGGAAATTCAATATCAAAATACACTCTCCTTAAATCTCTTCAAAAAACAAAACATCCCATGTTTTATGAGACGGAGGGAGTATAATATTAGTAAAAAGGTATGATGTGATAAGTAGGGTTTGAAAAAATAAGGGAGAAAAAAGTGACTTTTTAATGGAAATAAGAACTGTTTTTTAGAACGGATGAAAAAAGAAAGGAGAAATGTTTTCAGGGATGGAAGGAGTAGTATATTTCATCTCATATTGTAGTACATGAAATAATAATTCAATTTCCAACGTTCAATTATGTTGTCGTATTAACGTGCAGCAAAGTAGCTACAAGGAATACTTAAAACTGAAGGGCAAATACGAGTCACTACAACGGTACCAAAGGTATTACCATTATTTCGTCCCTTTGGTAATGTTAGTAACCATTAGGTCATGTTGAGCATTATATAGTACATACTCTTTTACTTTAATTTTTCAATTTTAAAATAGACTTCCCTCCTCACTTTTTATTACTCATTCTCTCCTAAAGTAAATTCAATGTTTCTTATTTACAATGTTTTTGTTGTCGATATTGTTGATTATTTACATAATCAAATTTTATTCATTTTTTTCTTTTTCAATTACTCATTTCATAAAATAATATAGTCATATCATCTCTTATTTACAAGATTTAGCTTTTTGATGTGCTTTTTAATAATGGTTAATATTGTGAAGAAATTTACTTAAATAGCACTAAAACATAACGACTTTCTCTAAATAGCAACATATGTGTTTTTCTTTCCAGTGTAGCACTTTTAGTCATTATGCATTAGTCATTATTTAACTAAATATTCGTCATCACTAAACATTATGGACATTATTAAGTGCTATTTAAGGAAATGGTTTAAGTTTTTGTGTTATTTAGTGCAAATATTTCTAATAGTGTGTGTGTGTACACGTATGTGAACTTATACTTTAACTTTGTTTTACTAGATTCTGTTTGTTTTTTTTGCAAAATATACCAAGTATAATAATAACTTATATCCCATCATAATATACAGAAATAAATTTATGATAGTTTCTCGCAAGTACTCCCTCCGTCCCAAAAAGTTTGTTACGTTTAGAAAAAACTGCGTCCCCTAAAGTTCGTTACATTTCTATTAAAAAACCACTTTTACCCCTTACTTTTTCATACCCTAACTATCACATCATACCTTTTTCCTAATAATCTACCCATCACATCAAGGGTATTTTTGAAAAGTCAATACCAAAATATCCCTCTCTTAATTTCTCAAAAAGTTAAACCGTCCCATTCTTTTTGGGACGGAGGGAGTACAACTCTAATGAAAGCATTGTTATGCTAATATCCATACAACTTTATTTTAAGTGATGATCAAAATTTGTCTACTAATAGCTTGGGAGTATTAAAGTAAAATTGTAAAACTTAATACTCCCTCCGTTTTTTAAAAGTGTTCCTATTTTGACTTTGTGTAAAAATAAGGAAGTGTTAAATTGTAGTTGACTTCCAATTTTGCCCTTGATGTGATGGGTAAAAGGAAGAAGTGATGGATTGAGTATTAGAGAAAAAGTATGATGTGATAGGTAGGGTATGAAAAAGTAAGGGTAAAAGTGGTTTTTTAATAGAAAGTAGAAGTGTTTTATTGGAAGTAAAAAAATGAAAGAGGAAGTGTTTTTAAGAACGGAGGGAGTACCTATTTTAAGAGGGCTGAATTATAATTATCTTGATTTCTTTCATCATTTATGACTATAGTTTCCTACCTAATTAATTTAATACTCCGTAATAATAATGATTAATGAATTGAATGACAGACATCTTCTTGGGGAGGACTTGGGGCCCCTAAGTATAGATGAGATTGAGCACCTTGAGCATCAGCTGGATACGTCGCTGAAACATATTAGGTCTACCAGGGTAATTACTCTCATATTTTTAACGTATTTATTACGGAGTATTTGAACTTGCAACATACTCGCAATAAATAGCTCAGCTCCTTAAATTTGTTTTAGGGCATCAGTGAAACATTACTTAATTGACAATAATTAACACCTGCATATATGTGGGTTCGAGAAAATAAAGTACATGCACCGTTTTATCCTAAGTTCTTTGAAAATTGTATAGTTTACCTTTGAACAGTAAAAAGTGTACTGTTTACTTTTGAATTCTTTCAAAATTGCACAATTTATCCCTGAACATTAAAACAAGTACCAAATACTCCTGAACAATTTAATACGTTGCACCGTTGGTTCTAAATGCTAGATATGGAGTGCGTTGCTCCCACACACGAGAATTGCAAGTAAGATTCACGTGGATCTTGTAAATTCTCCAAAGTACTTTTCTCCAAAATTATTGTCTTTATTTAAATATTCAGAAGTAAATTATACGATTTTGGGAAATTTTAGGGGTATTTGGTGCACTTTTTAATATTTAGAAATAAATCATGCAATTTCTAAAAAATTAAGGAATATTTGGTACTTTTTTTAATGTTAAGTGATAACTGTACAATTTTCGAAGAATTTGGGGGTACGGTAAACGATGCACTTTTCTCATGTGGGATAATATACTTTATTCATTTTTTGAATATACTATGTACTCTCGCTGTCCCAAAAAGATTCATGTCACAGTTACTATTTTGACCTGTCGATAACTTTTTTATTTGTACATTTTTTTGTGATCTTTTGATAAAATAAAATATTCTTATCTCGCTTTGTTTTGTAGAACTTTTGATGTTCCTTTAAAATGTAAAATTTTTTATTTTTTATTTTTCTATTACTCTGTAATTTGTGATGTGAAAATCTTGGAATGGAGGGAGTATAAGTTTTACACTTTTCTTTATTCATGCTTTTTTTAGGAAATAAATATGTATACCTCTTTAGTTGACATCTTTCTTTCAAATAAATTCTAACTACATTTATGCCATTAGAAGTGGCAATTCGGTCAACCGGATCGGTTTCGGATTGGACTTTTTAGTTCGGATTTTATTCAATTCTATATATTTTTTTGGTTTTAGTTCGGTTCCGAGTCGGTTCAGATATAAGTCGATTCAGATAGATTTCGATTCTGATACAATTTGGATCAGATGTATTTAGGTTTCAGATCTAGTTCGGCTCGGATATATTTCAGTTTCGGATATGTTTAAGCTCGGATATATTTCGATCAAATATAGTTTGATATATTATTTTCTAATTAATATTTAATTATCCATGTTTCTTTTTTGTTTTATCACATTTACCAAGTATAATATGCTTATTGAGAGGCAAACACAGTTTTGGATTTTATCGGTTTTAGTTCTAATCGGTTTCGGATATTATCAGGTTTGGATCAAATCGATTTCAGGTTTTATCAGTTTTGGGTATTATTGGTTTCAGATCTAATTGATTTCGAGTTTAATCTATTCAGATATGATCGATTTCGGATTTAATCGGTTTCAAATTTGAATCGGGTATGAATTATTTAGTTCAGTTTTGGTTTGGTTCGGGTCATTTCAGATTTTTGGTTATAGATCGGATCTTCATTTTTCGGATCATTTCATGTTCTGTTTTGGATAATTCGGTTTGAGTAATCGATCCTGATTGTTTTGCTAAGTCTATATACAATTTCACTTTTCATTGAACACTTTTAGTTTTTTAACTCTATGACTTCAAACGATAAATTTGTTTAAAAGAGTAAAGGATGAAAAAGGTTTGCTCTGTAGACGTATTTTGTACCTTCTTAATCAATATGACACCTCGTGAAGTAGTGACAACTCATTTCTAGAGAAGGTGTGAGATAGCAATTAAGCTTGAGACCAATTCAAAGGCCATTAAAATGTTGTGAAAATGGGATTTGGTTCATGTGTACTAAAAGCACAACATGTTAACCATTGGGTAGAATGAAAATGTCATGCCATATATACTCCTACCCAACCAAAAAGTAAGTTTTATGAGTCACACTTTTCCTTTTGGTCTCTTGCTGAATTAAATTCATTTTTTATTTTTTTATTTTTGCTAAACTAAATTCATATTACTTCATATTTTCCACTATTCTTAGAGGTAAGAGATCTTTGTGTTCCTTACAACTTTTCTAAACATATTTTGACTACATACTTTTCATTATTTAAATTGTGTGAGGTCATAAAAAACCTCCCAGGACAATTTTACTCAAAAATTTTCACACCTTTTTTCAAGTTACTCACAAATAATCATTTCATTTTAAGAAACAAATATATGGCTTAGAAAATTTCTCTTTTCTTAAAAACTTTAAAGAAATCACCAAAAATAAGAAAATATAGGCTTTATTACCAAAATATGAGTCACATGTTTTTATTTATAAAATATGACTATTTTACAGTGACAATATGGTGCTTTATATTGACATTCAATATTATTTTTTGATATTATATGTTTGAATTATAAATTTTATTTTAAAGATAAAAACATAAAAATCTTATTTTGATTCTTTTCTTTGTTTTACTTTTATTTTAGTCTTTCTCTCAGAAATTTTCACCTCATTTTTTTTCAATTTAATCGGAGCATTTTTTTATACTACGTCAAAGTTGAATACAAAAGGTATTTATGAGACAGAGGTAGTACAAATTAATATGCTCTGTCTCAAAATATATTCCATATTTTATTTTTCTTGATCAATATTTAAAAATTTCAATCTAGAGATTACTTTCTTATTTAAGAGTATCTTTAATGGTGTGTTGTTTTACTCTTAAAAGCTCATGTAGAGCATTATGGGGAGAACAAGTTGCTTAGAGTGCTTATTTGATGGACCTAAAGTCTATATCATTCTAGATAATTTTTTTTCATATTGTTTCGCAAAAAAGTATTTATCGGGATATTAAGCATTTCCTTTTCGCTCTCATAGAAAGGTCCACTTAAATGGTGTGGATCTTAAGTCCACAATAACATTTGCCTACTCTACATAGTTTCTGGTTTGGAAAATCAATCTCCTCATCAACACCAACTTTTCTGCCATTCTTTTTATTAACTTTTAATTTATCATTGATGGCTTATTATAACATAAATATGAGTCTTGAAGTCTTGTCATCACACTTGATTTATTTTGTTCTAACTTAATTGCTTACGTGGCAGACTCAAATGATGCTTGACCAGCTATCTGATCTTCAAACGAAGGTATTGTCTTACATTCTACATACAGTATATCCCTACACTACCATCCATTTGTACTAGCTAGTTAACTAACAGTGATTTTGCTTAGATTTATCTATGTATCCAATTTGAACAACTATTAATTATCAAATACTCCTATGTTAATTAAACTTGCCATTTGTTAAGAATAAATTCAAAGAGGTGTTTCTCTATACATTTTGAAATTGTTTGATCTTGTTCACATAGAAAGCTAAACATAAATAAGAGAAGATTACCATACTATGAATACAAATGTGGGATTTGTGGCCCTACAATAGTCTGTGGAAAATACTCCCTCCGTTTTCAAAAACATTTCTTCTTTCATTTTTTCCACTTTCAACAAAACACTTCCCCTTTCTATTAAAAAACCATTTTTACCCTTACTTTTTCATACCCTACCTATCACATCATACTTTTTCTCTAATAATATATCCATCACATCTTACTTTTACCAATCACATCAGCGGCAAAATTGGAAATCAACTATAATTTAACACTTCTTTATTTTTGCTCCCAAATCAAATGGGAAGAGTTTTTCCAAACGGAGGGAGTACTTACTAAAGGATATATTTGATGTTTATGTATAGGAAAAGCTTTGGTTGGAGGCTAATAAAACTCTTGAGTCAAAGGTATGTATATATTCTACTACGGAGTAATATAAATGTACCACATAAATGTAAGGCATGCTTGACTTATTTTTCACAAACATATTTATTGCTTAATGGAGAACTTAAATGGGATAAGATGGTCTAAAATGGCTCTATTCACATGTCAAAGTTAATTCTACTCCTTCCGTCCGTTGTTGTTTATTTTATTCACATGTCAAAGTTAATTTACTTTTTTTCCAATTTTTGTTACTCATTTAATAGAATAAAACGGAGTATATGCATGTCACATCTTGTTTCGTAAAACTTTCATTGTAGTTTTTAAATATGTATTGAAAATGCCACCTCTTGTTTCCACCTCAATTCTCAAATAAATTGTACTATTCAAAACAATTTCAGTACGTAAAAAATCGTAAATCAAAACAGGCTATTCAAGTTGGGACAGAGAGAGTAATATAATTAATAAAATACGGAGTAGTACGGAGTATTTTTTTTAATAAGAGAACCTACACTTTTGACATGGTTGTGTGGTGTAGCTTGAAGAAATATATGTGGAAAATAACATTCAACAGCAATGGGGTGACCAAAGTGGTGCATACGACCACCACCATCACCATACGGCAGATCATCACCATCATCATGATCACGTTCCTCATCATCCTTTCTTCCAGCCCTTGGACTGTGATTCCACTTTGCATATCGGGTAATCTTATGCATGTCTCTCTTCAAATTGACATATTTTTGTTTTAATATGGGAGTGTGCTTAGCTTGAAGAAATCATAAACTTCGATTTATACGCAGTTTTTAACTTATAAGTCAGTTGATGACATGTTTTAGTGTGTTAAACTAAAAAAAATAAGTATACTAGGTCTTACCTACATATTTTTAGGATAATTTTTTCATTTCTTCGTTTTGATCAGATTATTAACAAAACCATCCATCACTATTTATGAATATTAGCAAATCTATCGTTTAAGTCATTTTACTTCCACAAAAAAATAATTAGGGGGCATTTGGTTCATGCTGAGGAAAGGGAAAGGTAACAGGAAAGGGAATCAGGGGAAAGGGAATGATTACTCCTGAATTACTCTGTCTGTTTGGTTCAGTGCAGGAAAGGGAATATAATTCCCTTTGTTTGTGTTTGGTTCAAAACAGGGGAATCAAATTTTTTTACACATCTATGATCAATTGGTTTAAAATAATACTTATATATTTTATCAAAGATACAATTAAACAAAATTCACACATCACAACATACTTTCAAGATGATACGTTCATTTCAAAAAACATTACCTGTCTAAAACTTCAAAAACACAACAAAAAATCACAAATTTTTAGAGTCTATGAGATCTAGTTCTCCAAGTGTTGAACATGTTCTGAGCCAATGCATTTCGGAAATTAGTCCATGGATCTGATGTATCAATTGAGGTTATGTACTCGACTTCATCATCACTATCTCCATCATCATGTTCAAATATCTCTTCATCATCACCAGCTCTAGATGTCATGTATCTTGTAATCAAGTTATGTAATAAAGCACAAGCCAAAACAATGCGACTATGTGTTTGTAGGTTAAACCAAGTAGGGTTTCTAAGAATACCCCAACGCCCTTTCAGTAACCCAAAGAGAGACCAGATCGAACCATTCCTGTTCAAATTTTAAAAAAAAACTTTTAGATTTGAGGAAGATCATCATCATCATTGGGGTTGTTTGGGTTGTTTTTGGCAACATTTTTTTTTTGCAACAAAACTTGAGGGGTTTCAATTTAATTCTAAAAAATTTGAAAAAAAATTTGTAAAAAATTTGTAATAGAATTTGTAAAAATATTTGTAAAAAATTTGTAAAAACTTTTGTTACAAAAACA